TGCTTGTTTCAAACAAGTGATGTGTTGCAGGGGCTGGGGGGAGAAAAGGAGGCTATTTTTTTTTATTAAGACAGTGATTTACAAAGAAAATCAAACACTTTGCATTCATAATGTGATTTAAAAAAAACCCAAAAAACAAAAAACAAAACAACCAAACAAAAAGAAAAACCAGAGATAGTGAGGGTCTGAATCTGAATAGTGAATGGGAGCAGAGAACTGGATGTAGCCCTTGTTTTGGATCAGAAGTTTTGCTATCTGGTTAGGGAACACATTTTTTGCTCATGGTAACTTTGTGATTCATATGGATCTCAGGGAAACTGGACAGATCTGAGTAGCATGTGACACATAATCCTCTTATGACATTTCTCAAATTGTTATGAATTAAGGAAGCAAGCTAATGAAGTTGTATTTTCTAAGAAATACATTAATTCATATTTAACCGTCATGTTTTAAAATGTTCTTCACCACTGCTGGTCACAGGTCAACCAGTTAGCTAAGCTAAACCTGGGACAGCACGGGGCCCTGAAAGAATATACATCTAAAACCAAGAGCTAGATGGGCATGAAAAATAAACCAAAGCATGGGCCAGGAAACACTTTATCTCTGTGGCTCAGAAAAGGGCTTTTTTTCTACTGGGAAGTGAAGTGCAAATAGAGTTGGTTTTAACATTGTACACTCCTCTGAACAGGAAGGAGGCACACCTCAGATGTCAAGAAGTTAGGCTTTAAGAGAAAACAATGTACTTACCTGTCTCTACCAAAGTTTATTTGGGAATTGGAGAGTAAAAGCAAACAGAAAACACATCTGGAAAAGACATAAGATGTTTCATTATTTGTTGAAAAAAGCCCAGATGTTTCTTGTGTAGCATGCAGAAAAGATTAGTTTAGAGGAGTTTGCCTATCCCTATCTGGGGGGTCATCCATCTCTGAAGCAAGACAGTGCAGTGTAAAGTACCCAGAGGGTTCAGAAATTTGAGATCTAATATTGAATAAAGCTTCATACGAGCTACAAGGGTCAGAACAATTCTTGAAGGCCTGCGCAATTAGTCCATGTTGATTTTGCATCCTTTCCCAGCCAGGAGGCTGGAGCTATTGTTCATGCCCAGAATGTGAGAAACTCTGACATTTAAGGACAGCAAAGTCTTTCATGAGCTAAACTGGTAAGAGCAGAATATATAGTATGGTTGAAAAATACTGAGCTTCATGCCATTCTGCTTTTCTCTGCAGAGTCACTGCAGGCAGGTCACCTCTTATTAACCTCAAGAAGGCTATATTCTTGCAACCCAGCTTTCTCTTGACCATGAGAGGAGTGTGAAAAAATAATATAAAGGATTAGCTGGTGAATAGCACATTTTGTATCTTTGTGGTTTAGGGAAAAAACTTTGTAATGGAGGCAGGGTTATATATAGGGTGGATTTTGATTCTGCTGTGTTTCTCTATACATCGGGAGAATAATGCTCAAACATCAAGAGACCTAACTAAGCGTTACTCTGACTTAAGTAACAAATTGAACAAATTGGTGTATGCTGAGATTTCGTAGTCATTTAGATTCAAGGTTCAGTTACCCAAAAGAACATTAAGTAACTGTGTTTATGCAGCAAGGGACCCTCTCTGAGCAAGGTTTCCTGTAAGGGGCTTCAGAACTTCTACGTGTCAGTATGGGGAGAAAAAAAGCTGCTCACATGCTAATTAACAGAGGTGAATATTCCCAGAACAAATGTCCTGAGTTTCTGTGAATCTTGCCCTCATCAGCCATAGCCACACAGTGATAGCATCTCCATTCCCAGAAGAGGCCGTGTTGTCAGCTTTTCCCTTGCATATGGCCTATGCCTTCCCAGGGACTCTTTGCTACAGAGTCTTCCCATGCAAAAAATGATTTTGATAAAAGACTTTTCTTCCAAAACAAAAATCACCAAACCTTTTTGCATTTTTCTGAATTCATGTAAATATTGCACTTCATTCCTGGTGTTACTTTGCCTCCCCATGTCTTCCTGTTGAATTGCCTTCACTGAAATCTTAGTTAATGCACCAGATCATAGACTGAATCCCTCCTGACATTGCCAGCCTAAATGATTTAGTAGTATTAATGGTTTAAGGCAGTATCTCTTACCACTTAGGGATCTTAGCTGTAAGCCAGGTGAATGTTAAACTCTCTTCAATTTACAGTGAAACTGCTCAAGAGTAACTTCTCAGATGAAAGACTAAACATGTTTATTGCGCAGTGAAAGCTAATAGTCACATATTGCTACCTCATTAGTTGGTCAGCACTGTTCCAAAGCTCAAGGACTTCCATATGCTAGAAGGTTTAATAACTTGGCCATTCAGCCATAATAATGTGTGAATACTATTTTGTTGTTACGGTTTCTATGTTTTAAACCAGCACAAGTTATGCCAACATATATGTGTAAGTGAAAAGGTGACTATTTTTCATTATATCAGTTGATATTTATGAATTAAATATTGCTTTTGGTAGATACTAGGTTCGTGCCTGTGCTGTACAGAGCATAAGATGCATAGCTAGTGCTTAGGGAGTGGCAAAGGTGGTGGCTGTGGTATGTGTTCTAAGGACTCTAGACCCAATCAGCCGTTTCTCTCAAGGTTTCCTGTATTTGTGCCCTTTATGTTGGATAAGCTACCCCCCTTTGTTTCTGGTATGGCACACATAAGAGCATGCTGAGTAACTTGTTCTGAAACACTGAAATTCCTGTGTTATTTTATGCAATGTATGATACCATGTTTGCGGTGGTTAAACAGCTTTTGAGATAGCTTGGGTTGATAATTGTGATCTTTTTTGTTTATATTTCTTCTGCCTCGCTGGGCATGTGTATGGCTAGCTGGAGAACTGTCTAAATTTCTGTATCAATGGGTCTTGGTACAGCTAGCTGCTGTCATTGTTGCTGGGCCTCTTGGCTGCCTCTCTGATCTTTCCAGTTCCCCTGACCTGACTGAACCTGTGATATACGAGCAGTTTGGTTTGTTCTTTAATTTTACCTAGTAAGAAACCCCATGATCAATATGCTATATTTGAAGTTAGTTAAGTGAAATGGCTCATTTCCTGTGAGAAGGGAGAGGAGAACAAGAGGTGAACAAGAGGTGCAAACAGAAATACAAGGCATTTTGTCTCAACATAAGGCTTTTTTACTGTGAGGGTGGTCAAACACTGGTGCTCAGAGAGGCTGTCATGCCTCCATCCTTGCAGATAATCAAAACCCAACTCGACATTGTCCTCAGCTACCTGCTCTAGGTGACCTTGCATGAGTGGGGTGGCTGGACTGCCGGCTTCCGCTCATCTCTGGTGCTGCAACACTCTCACAACAACTTCAGCCATGACAAATTAAGATGCTCCATCCCAGCATCTGGCTCTTGACAAGATTTTTCAGGAGCTGGTTCATAGTGGATGAGAAAGAAACAAGCTAAACCCTGGGGTATTCTGGACACCAGGGAAAGCACAGTGGATTCTTTACACCTGCAGTGCCATCACTCCTAATGCTTCTTCCAGTTTTGGCCTGCATGTTACCTAGACCTCTCTTTGGCACAGAGTCCAGGTCCACCTCATGCAGACAGTCCCCACTTACTGCTGATGCTTATCCCTGTTATTTTGCCTTTAGGCCCTCCTTATCTTTTCATTTTTCTTTTCCTTCTATGCTCCCTTTCTCCGCCTTTCTCCCTTTGTCCCCTGACCTTCAATGAGTCACAGCCCAAGAGCACAGGTTCATTTAGAAACTGTTAAACTGCTCAAACATTTTATTTTATTTTTTTTTTAATTTGACACAGCCTTCCTGGAAATATTTACTCATAAAGTAGATATTTTCTGTGCTTGTCAATATGGAGGGAAGTACGTGACATCTAAAAAGGATACTGTTAAACTGCTGCCGGAGTAACCTTCAGTCACCTACGAGACTAGGAGATGTGCTCCATATTCTCTAATTATCTTATGTTATTAGCTGCACTAAACAAATGGTATAGCCCTACTGCAGGCAGCTTTGCTGATTTTGGTATGCTTAATTAGAGGGGTTTTTTTTTTCAAGATGCTTCATTCCTTGTAACTAAATCTGGAGGATAAAACTAAGCATCAGTGAACTCAAAGGCAGAACTCCCACCAACTTAATTGGGATCAGGATTCTTTGCATGTTTGAAATATTTCCAGCTTTCTAAAGCCTTTTCTAATAGTGTATTGCTTGGAAAAGACTTAGATGTTCATGAGGAATGCGGATTTTCGCAAAGTGTGATGAATATTTTAGTTACCAGGAAAAAAATGCCAGAAACTTGAAATCTGTGGACAAATACAGTTTTATTTCAGTTACCTTCTTCAGTAGCTATACAGAATATGTTGGAAACTGGACATCAGCTGAATTAAGTATGATTAGTCTTATTAAAAACCAAAATTTTCGCCCAGTTTTGAAAATCATTATACATGAAGCATTTCACTGCTCCTATTTAAAACAAGATCTGACAAATGAAATTCTAAAAAACCAAAAAGTAAAAAATGCACAAAACTATCAAAATGGCCTACAGCGTTAAAACCTTAAAGACTTAATTTAAAAAAAGGAAGCTGCTGTTAGTTGTATCTAGTGTAATCCCCATAGGCACAAGTGACTGGAAGCTTAGAAGTTTATATAGTTACTAATTACATTGAGAGCATACATACTGATAGGCCTATTAAGTAGTGTCCGATGATGTTTAAAAACCCTATTTCTGGTATTCTCAGTGTGGTATCAGAAGTGGAATTAAAAGGAGGCTAGAATCAGAAAACAAACTACTTAATTCTGACAAAAGCCTAAGAAAAGGCATCTAACCTCTGAAGTAGTTTATGGCACTAGTTATCTTAGTGTCCCGTAATCAGCATTTGCTCAGGGGAACTGCGGATGGCTTGGAAGCTGCCCTAGTGTACTCCTATGTACTAGGTATAGAAATATAGCTGGCTGCTGGCCTTAGCCATGCAAGTCTTCTGTCCGCAGTTAAACATTCAGCAGGTCTCACGCAAATGCGTGCTAGTGCTTCTCAGTTGTTCTCCTGTGGCACTGCTGTTGCCTAAAAGGAAAGAGAAGAGGTAACTATTTTAGCGAAAGAGGCAGTCATCGCCTGCTTCATCTTCTTCGCATGGGCCTTCATTCCCAGAGCAGCTCAGCACCTTGAAATACTTAATGCACTTTGTCTGTTGGCTCTGTGTGACCACAGGTAAACCCCATGGCAGAAGGGACTGAAGGAGTGCTTCCTCCTTCAGGCTATCTTCTTTCCCTGATACTCTGCCCTACATTTTGACAGAAACTGCTTGAAAATCCATCTTGGAAGAGAGGCTGCAAAGAGAAACTGCCTAGTCCAGCAAAATTCCTGGCAGCAGGAACTGATGTGCTGTGACATCCAAGACAAAATCAGTTTCCTGTCAGTGAACTTTTGCATCGGTGTTCCCGTGGTTTGTACCCGAACTGTGTAAATAGTTACTTCTGTGAGAAGTCCCTGGACATACTACCTAGCATTTTAATTACTAGGCCTACATAATTTATTATGTATTTACTGGAGAGTTAGTTAACTAAGACTTCATCATGGCCAGAAGCCACTAGGGATTTACGTGTGTGTTGTACCTGCAAGAAAATTTCTGACAGAGAGGAAATACTGAATGTGCTTTAGCTAGGCAGATATCTCACTTATAAAGGATACACCACTGGACTTTACATTACTATTTTTGTATTTTTAACTTAGAGCTCTCTGTCTTCCTCCATCCTTTCGAGATCTCGTAAGCAGAAGAAAGTTTGACTTTCCAGTTGGCTTTCCAGAAACCCTCACTGAGACCAGAAGGTTTTTGTAGTGTGAAGTCATTTCAGGCAGCAGTATGGCCAAACTCGGTATCACTTTCCTCCTTACTGGAATTCCATTACAGGAATTCATGAAAGAGACCCAATGATTAGGATTTACCTCCCTCCTGAAAGCCAGATCTGGTTGCACACAAACACTGCCAGATGGTTACACATCAAAAGTAGGAACATAGTCCAACTCAAAACATCTAGTCTCACTTGTTATCGGACATACCTTATATTTAATAAATACTTAAAACAAAAAGAAAGCAAGCAAACACTGTACTCCTGCATGAATTTTGTTCAGCATTTTTCCATGTTAATTTACCTCTAAAATCTGAATTATAAATCTGAGTTTACTTTCTCAAAGACCTTTCAAACTTGGGAAGGTCAAGTTTGTGTTTTAGCTGTTTGGTAAGTCACGTAATCTGATAAGCTTCAAAGAAATAACTTAGATGGTACTTGTCAATTATATAAAACTTCAGCTGCATCTTACTAAGGGCTCACTCTGGGAAACTCCTGAGCACTGAATTTCTGGCTTCAGTGAAAGGTGAAATTGGTCTGTATCTAACAAAGCCAAACAGTCCTTGAACGTCTGTGGCTGAACATCAAGAATCTGTCTTTTCTCCCCATATAAGTAGTTATGTTTCTCAATGCATGGAAAAGCACTAAAAAGAACCTGACTAAACTCTCCCAGATGTCCTAGCTAGGTTCCCTGAAACCAATTTTAAGATTGCTTTTCTATCCAAATAAAATATCCTGCCATTGCTCAAGAATGCAGCCATTAGCCAAAAAGCCTACTCTCACTCTCAGAGAAAGTCTTTCTCTGTCAAAGTTTTTATTTTAAAGAATTGAATTAAATCTCTTAAAGAATTCTTTGCAGTAAGCTACAAGGTTTTCAACTAATGACTTGAAATGTGCTGCTTTTTGGCAGAACAGTTTGGGCAGGAAACATTACACATGACTAAGCTGGCCAAAACAACGTAGCTGCTTCACAGTTTTCCATTGGCTGGGTTGTATTTACCATCATTTGCTGCCTGAAAATACTTAGCTAGTGATAGACCTGTCAGTAATCTCCTCTCTGCTTGGAACT